TCACAGGAACACAAAAAAGCTAAAAGTGATTAGGTCCGTTAAATATAAAATTTACCTAGTCTTCCAATGAACACTTGCACCAGTTCGTGTTAGAGACCACCAACTCACAATGGTTTATTTTGCAAACTTCTCTAAGGGACAGATGGAGGCTTTGGATTACCAGTATCATCCTTTTGAGATTTCTCATTAACTCTTTAGGGATGAGCCATCCTCTCCCACCCACTAAGACTAAACGAAGATCACTAAGATATTAAAAAACACTCCAGAGTTGTACTACTGACTTCTATCGCTTTACTGAAAGGAACAGTTAATGATTAATTATTTGATCTATCTTGCATGTCTCCATTTATTTTCCTGAGAAACGACTTTGAAGATCTCAATACGTAATACAACAAACTTTGTCTGTAACTCTGTACTGTGTGTATTGTTCTTATGCTGTTTTGTAAATGGATGTCTGTTTGTTAATATGTTTTCCTTCTTTTATTTTTAAAATAATTAAAAACAAACAAACAAACAAACAAAAACACTCCAGGGCAAGATCTTCCTTAGCATGGGATCATCTCTGCCTTCTTACTCATCCCAGGGTTATCTGTTGCTCACTGACTCATGTACTTCCCAGTCTTCCGCCCACAGTGACTCTCCCGCCAGCCCCTCCTATCAAGGTTCACACCCAGTAAATAGTGGCTGGTTTGAAGTGTTTTAGTCTCTCACCATCCTGAGGCGGTGACCTCCCAGCCCGCTTTCATGCATTACTAAATTTGTGTCTGTTTCTTATTTTACCTTTTTGCCGTAACCCGCAGGCAGGCAGTTGGGAATCCTGGCCAGGAACTCCATAAGTTCAATCACGAATGATCTCAAACATAGCTCTCAAATTTTTGTATTTTATGATATGTTTATATAACAATTCCAAGCTTAATATTTCACACCAAAGTTATAAATAAAATATGGCTATTTTAAACAGTATTAAAATTTCTTTTATGTGGAAAATATATATTTTAAAGTCATTCAATAGAATGTAATAAATGTTTTATGTTTCCAGTAGCTTTCATCTTGATAATTATCTCTACTGTGGAACCATCTGTGATACATGTGTGGCTATAGGAGGACAAAATATTCCATAAACACTTTTTGTTTGCTAAACATTGCAACTCCTCTTAAACCAGAATAAAGTACTTGACTGCAAAAGAAGGAAGCCAGATTATACCATCCCTGGTGCCCAGTCTAGGTTGCCCACAATAGAAGCTGACAGCTTATATATCCCATGGCGGACAGCTTCTGAATCTGTGGTGCCCCTAGGCCAGACACAGCTATGGTGGGCAAGTAGGCCCAGCTTATAAACAGCTACCCCTTTCCCCATCTCACAGAAACCTTCTGAATAGCTGCTTGTTTTCCAATTTAAATCTGTTCCTTGGAAGCCAGGACCGCTATGCTCAACATTTCAGAGGAAGCAATGCTATCTCATTTGTCGTATCCTTGCTCTTTCCCAGCCTCTCCTGTGTCTTGGAAACTATCTCCTCCCTCGTAGCTGCTGCCTTCAAGCAACGCATATGGACAAATTTTTGGATGAGAAAATTTCTCAATGGAGAGGGAAACACTGTTGGGTGACACGAAATGAAACATCATGTGCCCTGAATACTGAGCTCTAGAAAATACAGCATTAAAGATGAGATTGTAAGGAAAGGATATCTGTAAGGCAGGGAGAGAATATGCTAAAGGTCTCATTAGTTTTCTGGTGTTAAAATTTTACTAAAGAAGTCTACTAGAGAAATTTCCCCTAGGAATAATTTCAAAGATAAGGGTAGAGAAAGAGCAAAACGGGATAAAGCAAAGAAGCAAATGGCCTTAGAATACGCAACAAAAGACTGGAAGAAAAGGTGACAGACAGAGCACAGAGAAAGCCAAGTTCACAAAGCTGAGAGAGCCGTCCATCCCCTCCTCCAATAGGATGCAGGGGAAGCAGAGGTGAAAAGGGGGCTGCATAACATTAGGGAAAGCTGTTATTCAGGGTGTATTCGCACCTATGCACTAACATTTGTACATACGCATTCACTGTAGAGTCACTATATTCCTATATTCCACCCACTCCTCACCAACTCTAAGCTAAGCGGGAATTAGGTACCCTGTGCCAACTAGCGGCCCACACCAGAGATAAAGCCCTGTAAGGGACAAATACGCAAACAGATGGAAAGTAGTTACACATACACCACCAGAAGGAATCATGTAGACAAGAATGACAGGTCTAAGCCAGAGACAAAGCAGGGAGATGGCAGGTCCCGAGTAGGGAGAAGGGTCCTGGCACCCAGTAAAAGCAGGCAGGTGCAAGGGGCCCATGGAACCTCCACCCCTCTGGAGGACCCAGTCTGACTCTTATCAGGTAGCTACCTATAACATCCTTTTCACCCCTCTCCAGCAAAGTCTCTTCCTTTCTAAACTGTATGCCTTTAATTCATTATGGATGTGGAGTTTATGATCCTGGTGAATTGCAAGGACAGTGGAGCAGGGGTGCTTGTTATCCTGCAGATGTGACAAATTCATAACTAACAAGTCTTATGGGACAGAACATATTCAAGAGAAAAATCAAGATATCAGTCACAAATAGCTCTGTACCTTGTATCCTTATTTAAAATTAAAAGTAATTGTTAATTACTTACTGATACTCACATAGATAACTGCTGTATCTTAGAAATATTTTGAGATATTAGAGGTGTAGGGTCCCCTACTTATTAGAGCCATTTATTAAACAAACTTACAATAAGTATAATATGTGGATTTTTAATAACCATGGATACTTGGGGACAAAAATGTCTTTCATTTGCTCATTCTTCAATATGCTACCCCTCTGCTCTACTAAGTGTTTTAGGAAGATAGTTTTTTTGTTTGTTTGTTTGCTTTGTTTTGTTTTGTTTTGTTTTTGTCTTTTTTGAGACAGGGTCTTGCTATGCAGTTCAGGCTGGTCTTGAGCTCAATTTGGAGCCCAGGTTGGCCTCAAACTTGCAGTGACCCCTCTGCTCCATTCTCCCAAGTGCTGGGATTACAGGCCTGCACCACCATGCCCAGCTTGGAAGGCAATTTTCCAAACTACTTTTTCTAGTGAAATTCTGACTCTTTCTGAAATGGGAGTACTGCAGAGTTGGTGATACTTCCTCCTTCTTTCTCTGTTCCACAGCTGACAGAAGAATGTGTGTGTTTCCTTTGGCTCCAGGTTCTACCATGCGGTGTAACTACTATGCACTGTACCCAGGTCAGGTACTAGCTATTCCACTTCTGCTCACTCTTCCAACAATTGATTTTTCCAACCCTCTTCCAATCACTAATCTGCATTGCCTAATTGTTTCAAATTGCCTAATTGGATTCTCATTTTCTCTTATTTATGCAATTTATCTAATTTTTACCTATATTAGATGTTCTCTACTTTAAAAACTCTATTATGGTTTCTGCTTTTCTGACAGAACCAAAGGGATGCAACAAATGTTGAAAGCTCGTGTGTTGTCTGCATTCAAAGAGAAAAGCTTCCAGCTCACACAGCTGTCAAACTATTTTGGAATCACTCATCTCACTCAGCATTCTCCTCTTTCCTAAGCCTGTTGCAGTACTATCAGGAGGACCACAACACTTAGCCGGAAAAAAACAAAGTGAGTGGAAGGCACATGGCTCAGATGCAGTGCTGCTCCCATGGTGACTGCACTGTGCACTCACATAAACCATTGTAGCAGGCAGGGGAAAGTTTTGATGAAAGAAGCTCCAGGCTCTAAAATATTATTTTGTTCAATGGAAGAAATGGATACATTTAATTTACAAATAATACTATATCTGATGATAATGTATGGCAATACAATATTACCAAAAGTAGGAGAAGTCTATGGAATGCGAGAAAGATGAGAAGATATACAACTGGAAGGGTGGTAACCAGAGCCTACTTTTGTATTTTATTTCTTATGCTGGCATAGAAGTCAGAAAATAGTACTAGAATCTCAGTTTCCTCATCTGTATAGGGGGAATAATAATGGTGATATTTACTTTACAGAAGGAGATGTAGCTACTGTGATAGCTGTGAAGTAGTTGCTTTCACCTTAAAAAAGAAACATTACCATTTGTCATTAGACAGGCAATCACTTTTAATGCATCTGTGGGTTTTTATGTGAGAAAAGGTAGATGGGCAAACAAGTTAATGAGATTTGGGCATGCAAAGCTAGCCTCAGGGTCAGTGGGATCATCAAGCTAAAGTAAAATGAGAGGAGGATGTCAAAGGACACTAGGATAAGTAGCATGGGGGGAAGCTTGGACAGAAGGGAGAGGCTGGGAGAAATAGTCATGACAGGGTAGCAAGAAACTTTACAACAAGGGAATCGGACTTCTGTAAACATTTTGCTCTGTCTAAACCCCAATATAGAAATCCTTAATGTGAACAACTTTGGAAAAATATTTAAGAAAGGGGCAAAATTAAGCATAAAAACTAGCCTTTCCTCCTCCACCACCAGGTCACCCAGAAAATTTGTGCTCCTTACTGGTGAGGACTCAAGGCTGCCTTGAATAGAGCTTACTGCATTATATTTAACTCTCTATGAACTGGGAACCTGCGTGGATGTGTGGACCAAATACATGAAAGAATACATAACAAACTGGAAACCTGGGGCTTAATCTCATACAGTCTTTTACTGCATGTATGTTTGTTTCAATTAATGCAATGAGTGATGGTGCAATGGTGATTCCAAGAGCTGTCATTGATGTAAACCTTGAATTTGATAGTTACTATTTATTGAGTAATCATCAAACTCTATTTCTGTATAACAACGTATCAAGTAGGAACTAATAGGACTAAACACTTCCCACATACTTGATTCTTAAAGTACTCATCAACTAAAAACACCCATTAGACACAATGACTTCGCTTAAGCTTCAGACACAGTTTTCAATACGACAGTTAATTTGCTTTGTAGTTTGACTAAGAACGATTCACACAGCTTTGTGCAAACGTCAGTTTCAAAGCAGATTCTGTTTACCTTCTCGAGCCTGTGTATCCGTCAGAGGTGGTTTGCCAAGCAGCAAGTGCTGGACTCTTACACCAGTGAAAGGTTGTCCCAGTAATTGCTTCATTAATGGTAGATGATGTGATATTGTACCTCTTCGTGTAGCTTTAACAGTCTTCCAAAAGCAGTAAATTCTACAGTGATATCAAATTTTACGATCACTGCACCTGTAATAGGAAGCACATGTTAAAAAAATAGCACTTGTGCTATCTCTGTATTGGAAATGCTTGTCTTAATTAACATGCACTATTCTGATGGAATGCACTGGTTAACATATAGTTTGTTAAAATAAACGTGTGTTGCATTTAGATAAGTATAACTCAATAAAATCATGCTTTGAATACAATGAGCACTCTGAAATTTAAAGGAGTGAATATTTTTTTCACTGTGCTTTTCCTTAAGCACAGACAAATGTACAGTGCATATCACAGAGTCCCCAAATAACTGTATTTGGGAGTATTTTTGATAAATATAAGAAAAGCAAAACAGACTTTCATTATTACATTTTCTGTATTTCATGTATTCTCTTTTAAATCATAGCTAATATAAAAACAGCGCTTCTTTTCCTACTGAGTTAAAAGTTATGCCTTTTGTGTATACTGCTTTTTCAGACTAATGTTTTTTTACCAATAATATAGTACAATCAAATAAGTCTGATTAACTTTAAAGCCATTTTATTTTTAGAATCCACAATTTATGTTATTGCATCTTTTGTTCATTTTCTAATGATCAAGATGACAAGGGATCTTTTGAACGAAGGAACAATTGTTCAGCAGTGCTGTCTTTAATGCTAATCTTGCCTTCTATTTAAAAAACAGAAATAATTTTCATGAAAGAAAAATTTCTGTAATAAATTTAAATACATTTATATTTTCATTTTGGGAAGGATTGAGTCATGTGTATGCTTGGGAATGAAGAATAGTAGGAACAATGTCTTTAATGAATTTAATTAGAATACCATTTCATGGCTTTTTAGCAGTTCTCTCTCAATTTTAGCACCATTATTCCTTTCTCATTCTTCATGTCAGAGTTTCTTTTTCATTGCTTTTTAAGGTAATGTCATGGAAAATGAATAAATATTTGAATATCTCTTATAATTGTATATAACACAAGTATAAGGAACAGAATTTACCAAGGCCTATATGTTAAAAAAACACTGAGCTATTTTGAACAGTAAATCCAAGCAGCAATTTCACATTCTGAAATTCTCTAGACTTAGAACATTATGATAAAAGATACAGTTAGACGAGAAAGCAATTCTCTTTTTACATAAGAGGAAATGGAGATTTGGGATATAAGAGACTCACCAAAAGTCACTGGTGAAAGAATCTAGGAAAGTCTGGACATGAACCATTTTTCTGGTGATCAACACTGGACATTTTTTACACTTTTGTTTCAACATTTTGAAGTTTCTATGTAAGTCTAAGGTTCCTATGTTAAATGCCTATTATCACCTTGCATATTTGAGATGATTGTCTTACATACATAATCAAAAAATATTTCAATTAAAATTTTGAGTTTTATCTTTATATAATTATTCAAATATTATTCAGCAAGTCTATGTATTTTTTTAGAACATTTACATTCTAAGCCTGTAATCTGCTTTCTAATTATTGACTGACTTACCCCACAGACTTATAAAATACACAGATATACAAGTGTATGTGGCCCATAGTTCATTACAAAGCTCATCTCAAAGCAAAGGGTCAAAACATCTCAATTTCTTATATCTAAACATTGATTTTTTTTTCTTAAGTACTTCTTACATTTCAGCTACTTCAGCTGGATGAATTTCAAGTCATGTCTTGAATAAAAGATTCCTTGAATTACACATTTCTAATTAGTCTTATAAAGATTTAAGCAGTACCAGAAAGATGCAATGATTGATGGTATATTAAATATAATTGTTTACTTCTTAAAACTCTTTTTAAAAAATATCCATCATATTAGCTCTATCTCCAAAAAGATTATGGTTAAAGTCATGTAGACATATAGTGAAAACCAGAAATAGCAGGAGAAAAAAACATCTAAGAAGCACAAGGAATGAAAAATAGAATGCATTTGGTTGGCATTTGAAATGAGTAAGAGAGTCAGTGAGGCAAAGATTCAGAAAGACACTTGCAGAAATAAAGTTTTCCCAGTGACAGTATAAGGTTATGTCAAGGGAGCAACTTAAAAGTAATATCGCAGGGGAATTGGGCCGAACGGTCTGTAGAGAATGTAGCTGCAGAACACCCTGAGACATGTGTCTCCGATGTTTTTAAAGTAATGGTGGCAAGAAATTAAACTTTTATCCACTCATTTATCAGACTTATTCTCTAAACACTGAATAATTACTCTCTGACAAGTCTGGCTAACATCCCCATTCCACAACAAGTAAAACCATGTAGATACTAACAGTTGGTGATTAGGGTATTGTGCTACTCTACTACTTCAACTTAACAAGTGACCGTAGACTAACTGGTTTACAGGAACACAGACTTAGTGAAATGGTACAGTTATTCAGAAAAGCAGTATGACAGTCTTTCAGAAAATAATACATAGGGTTAATTCATGAATTCCACTTCTGGGAATAACTAAAAGAATTGAAAGCAGGGTCTAGAATGAATATGTGCGTATTTGTATTCCTAGTAGCATTGTTCATAATCATGGGAAAAACCTAGTAGCATTGCCAAATCATGGGAAAAAACACAAATGCCCATTGATAAATAAACAGATAAACTCATATGTAATACACACACACACACACACACACACATATAATATTATTCATGTGGAAATATATATGAATCCAAAAAGCATTATGCTAAGTGAACTAAACCACAAAAGAGTTGTGCACAGGTAAATGGACAAATTAAATATATTAAAGTTTCAGAAATGCATTCTTCTCTTTTATAAAATATATAGAATGTCAAAATTATAGACACAGACAGACAGTTGAATAGTGATTACCAGAGACTGGAGGGAGGAAGAAGTGAAAAATTATTATTATGTGATAGGTACAGAGTTTTGGCTTGAGATGATGAAAAAGTTCTGGAGGTAGATGTGCTGGTTATACACAGTGAAAGAACTAATTCTATAATCTGCGAGTGTAAAAATGATTAAAATGTGTCTTGGTTACTCTCCTCGTTGCTGGGACACAATACCCAAGAGCAACAATTTAAAGGAGGAAGGTTTTATTTTGGCTCACAGTTTGTAGAAGTTTCAGTCTGTAGTCAGCTGGTTTCACATCAGAATGCTCAGCAGAGGGACCTGGCAGTAGAGAAACAGTGCACGGCGTGGCCAAGGGAAGCAGAGAAAGGGCGCAAAGGGGAAGGATGGAGACAGACTTTTCTAAGCCACATCCACAGTGATCCACCTCTTCCAATCAGGCTTACCCTCCCTAATCACATTTAGCTATAAACTGATGAGTGGAATAATCTACTGATAAGTACCATGTCCCATGATTCAATCACGCCCTGAAACCCCCACCTTTAAGCACATAAAGCTTTAGGGGACCATCCAGATATAAACCATAACAAAATGATATTGCTAGTAATGAAGTGTATAGACTGAAAAGAAACATCGTACTATTCCTTATATCCTGAAAATTTAAAAGACCAGCTCTAACATAACACTGCAGTAAAATTCAGAATTACAGAAGCAAAGACAAGATATCAAATATTTCCAGAAAGATGGAAAATAAGGCAGGCAAAGACTTGGGAATTAGAATACTACTTGGCTAACAAAATGTAATTCTCAAACTAGAGTTATGCTTCTAGGTTTCTGATCAAGTATTTCCAACTTGATCAACCAATACTTGATCAAGTATTGAATATCATAGCAAATGTGAAACAAAAGTGCAGACAGAAAAGCATTTTCATAAGTGAAAATTCTAAATATTCTAGTTGTTCATAAGTGCACTTCAGGATGTTAGAAAAGTTTAATCAATATCAGCGAAACAGAATCAAAACCAAGAAGAAGATGTGAAATTAAGGGACAGCACATAGCACAAGATAGAAACAGAAGAAGTTCCCACTGAAAGCTTTGTAATAAGAGGATCATTGGACCTCCATGCATGGGGATGAGAATTTTATTGGAGCCAGAGCATTCCCAGTAACCCTTTAATATTGGAAGTAAGATTTTTTTTTTTTTTTTAATTTTCTCCGGTACCCGGAACCAAACTCACGACCTTGCGCTTGCCAGGCAGGCGCTTTTAAATCCCCATTTTAAGTTTCCCCATTTTTTTAAGTTTTTAAGTTTTTGTTTCCCCATTTTAAGTTAAAATCCCATTTTAAGTTTCATGAACATATCATTTAGTATAAAGACTAATTAAATGCCTGAAGGAAGGAATATATGCACCCACCATTCCACTTTTACCAAAAGTGCACTTTTGCTTTATGTTGTAGATCTGCTAGGAGAACCATTTTATCTACTCCTATGCACTGTGAATCCTACCTTCCTTTGATATCTTGAGTACTGTGGTAGTTGACATATCACTATTGAAAATAATGTCACATAGATGCAGATAAAACTTCAATTAGACATTTCACTGTAAACCTCTAATTATTATTATTACCACTGTTAACAAATTAAACCTTCAAAAACTCTAGAAAAACCTATTTATTAATATAACTTTAATAAATGAGGAGATTTAAATTAAACAGAATTTTCAGTGTTATTTAGAATAAGGTACATTATCTTCTCTGGGTAGTCTTTTAATTGGGCACCCTATATCTTGTTTGAATATTTTAATAATTATTATTTGATGTGTTGATGATAAACATTCTTTAGAGTAAGATGAAATCGCAGTGTTGTTTTAATAGCCAGAGAAACTGAACTCCTCACAATGAATGCAAGCGTTAGGTACTGCCAACACAACTAAATAAAAAGAAAAAGTAAAGAAAGAAACAATACACAAAGAGCAAAAATGTGATGATTGTTATTTTTCCTACCTTTAATGATTATGTATGAATTAAGACACACACACACACACACACACACATATGTACAGCTGAGTACACTCAAGTACGCATTTAAATTATTTCCATTTAAATTCGGTGGTAAGGATTTAGCACTTGAGAAACTGAGGTTGAATGTTCAGTTGACAACCCGGAAGTCACATCAGGTGCTCTCCAAGAATGTTCTCTTAACAATCAAATCTTCTCCTTCTTTCTACGTTGCTGCC